TGAGCCACTGTAACGACAGCTCATAACGCAGTTTCTCATCAGCCGTCATCTTGTCCACAACCGTTCAAAACTACGATAACTAGCTAGCTAGCTAAAGTGGCTTGTTTGCTAGCTTAAGTTAGCTAATGTTGAATTTTCTGTTCGCAATCACTGCGGCTAACTGTCTTTGGCAAACCCTGCTGACCACCGACGGAAACCCCGCGCTATCGTACAGTTAATGAGACCGTTTTTTAAAAGTAGCTTGCATTTAGTTTGAAGACTTACCATTATTTTAGTAACAGCGCAGCCCCAAGTCTGCAGACGAATTCCTAAATCTTCCTCTCTCTGCCTCACATACACACAGCTCAAATGCCGCAGTGCGTTCTGGGACGTGTAGTAGCTCGCGTACCGCTGTCGCGTTCATAAGTCTCGTTCTCTCCGCTGTCGGAACTACGCTACCCACAATCCACCGCGCACAGCTGCCATTGGACTCGACACTGTCAGTAAATTCCAAACCAACTGCAAAGAGCACTACTCACGGATATATCCGCATCTGCTCCGGTTCCGCGTCGTTATTGGTTCTCGCGGAAACCGCGAACCATCATGCGACAGCCACCATCACGTTTTACGGTGAGCGCACGTGCACAGTGGTGTGATGTAGGGAGATACTGACCATTATCACAGATACTGTACCATTCTTACAGTACAATTCAAGTACAGGTAGTAATAGTGCGTAAAATATATACCTACATATATGAATAACAGTTATCTTATCTGTTGCCATTTTCACAGTGAATACATTCATAATATTGTACCATTCCCTTAATATAAAACACTACATAAGGACTGTATACATTATGCAAATTACACTGTAATATAATCATGCACAATTTCACATTTTAAATGACAGCAAATGATCTTAACTAAGTAGAGACTAAATGCACAACCTACTTCACTGGTCCCCAACCTTTTCTATTATTAAGCACACTGACGACCCCTGACTGACATATTTTATAGATATTTCATATTATATTCAATGTATAACAATAACAGTAGAAACAACTGAAGGAAGTTTGTGTGTTTTGAATTAATTTTGAGCAGATTATTTCCTGTGAATATTGATAGTTTAGTTTTCCTGATATTTTTAGGAACTTTATATACAATTCTCTGTCTGTATTATGTATTTTAAAATTTAAAATATCTCTCTGTACTTTGCACATAATTATGTAGAATGTTTTATTTTATTATTTGTTGACATTTATATCCCAATGCTATCTAGATAAAGTAATGCACTTATTGCACTTAACAGATGAAGTCATTCTGTTACTGATATCCCATACTGAGCTTCCTATGGGGAAAGTGGCACTTTGTCAAGTTAAAACAATTTCTGAATTACTTTTAACAAACAGCTTTGACATGAGGCCCTTCACTGAGAACAAACCGTGCAAGAAATCCAATAAAATCTAAAAACAAATGTGTTGATTTTAAATTTTTCTTAAAGTGTTCCTTTATTGGTTGAGAACATTATCCACAGTATTTAAATACGCTCTTGGAATAGCTAGTACTTTTACTAGAGTACATTTTGTTGCTAATACTTACCTTTACATAAGTCAAGTTTTGAATGCAGGCCTTTTACTTGCAGTGGGGTATTTTCACAGTGCAGTATTGGTACTTTTACTTAAGGATCTAAATACTTCTTCCAACACTGATTTTATGCTACCCTGTTTTCACCAGGAGAGGGTGCCGCTTATCCAGATGTAGTCAGAGCATTGGACTGAAACACCCTCCTTGTTGTATTCTGTGTCTCTTTTTACACTGAAAATTCATCCATGTTTAAAATGTAAAGTAACAGTGCATTAACTGTTACCACAGCTAATAGATAATGTGTGATAATGTGAGAATAATAAACAGACATTTTCAGAGAATATACTTCAAAATGTCACAGTACAGGTGTAAATAATACATTAATGATGGCTGAATTCCATGTAGTTGCTTCAGTTTCAGGGTCTTGTATAGTTGGTGCATACTGAGACACTTCAATAGAACAGAGTCTTCTTTAATGTTCAATTTCACTTCAATTAAATTTTATTTGTATAGCACCAATTCATAACAGAAGTTATCTCAGGACATTTTTCAAATAGAGCAGGTCTAGACCGAACTCCTTATAACATTATTTACAGATTTGTTGCAGTAGGTAACTTTGTGTCGTATTTGCTTTTGAGAATCCACTGGGCCTGAATGAAAACAACCAATCAGAGCCAAGAAAGATAGTTGATTGTTAAGTTTAATTCCCGAGTCGTCAAATGCCAACACTGGGAATGAGACTCAACAATTGACTATCTTCAAGCCACAAACCAAAAGCATCTTTCATCTTGCTCGGCTCTGATTGGTTGTTTTCAATCAGGCCCGGTGGATTCTTGCAAATATCATTAGGAGCACTCGGAGGAGCCAGAGGAACCACATTTTTCACAGATTATCTGTCTCATGTTCTACTGTCAGGATATAGTGGAAGTTTCAGCAA